ATGCCAGCAAGTTATTTTGTAGATATCAACAAACTGATTTTAAAGTTTATGGGGAATATTAAAAAAAAAATAGCAACAACAAATGTTGGCGAAGATGTGGAGAAAAAGGAACTCTCCTGCACAGGTGGTGGGAGTGCAAAATGGTCCCACCACCATGGAAAGCTGTGTGGAGATTCCTCAACCTACTAAAGATAGAGCTTCCATATGATCCAGCAATTCCACTCCTAGGTATTTACCCAAAGGACACAGAAACATTAATTCCAAAGGGCACTTGCACCCCTATGTTTATAGCAGCACTGTTTACAATAGCTAAGCTTTGGAAACAACCCAAATGCCCAAAAATAGATGACTGGATCGAGAAGATGTGGTACATATACACCATGGAATATTACTCAGCATTCAAAAAAGATAAACTCATGCAATTTGCAGCAACATGGATGGAACTGGAAGGGATCATGCTCAGCGAAATAAGCCAGAAAGAAAAAGAAAAATACCGGATGGTCTCACTCATAGCAGGAATCTAGAAAACCTAAATAAGGAACCAGGAAAAAGACTAATTATAATAAAGAAAAAATCAAAATCAACAAGCAACTATAAACCAGAGACACACTAATGGGGGGAGGGAGGAGAGAAGGGATTAGAGTCAAAATAAGGGGGGTGGGAATTGTACAAGGAATATAACCAAAATGAAAATGCATACATTGTGCAATAATGAAAAATGACGTACAAATTATATAACATTGGGCCTCCCCAGTGGCGCAGCAGTTGAGCGCTGGGTTCCGAAGCTGCCCGCAGCCTACTACGCAGCGCCGTTTCGATCCCCGGCTGCTCCCCGGCCACCGGAGGAGGGTCCCACATGGCGCGCAGACCTCTCCTGCCGCCCGCTGCTCCCCTCAGCAGTGTACTTCGGTCCTTCTGCCTGCTCTGCTCCCCGCTCTGGCTCTGGTGAATTCTCTCACCCTCCCACGCTTCTGACTGTACCCAGTGCTTGTATAAAAATAAATAAATAAATCTTTAAAAAAAAATCTTACTGTAATAACCAAGACATTGTGATACTAGTTAAAGAGAGACAAATAGACAATGCAACAGAATAGATAGTCTGAAAATAGATGCATATGTAATCAAATGATCTCTGACATAGGAGAAAAAGCAATGCAATGGAATAAATTATCTTTTCAATAAATGGTGTTTGAACAACTGGACATCCATCTGCAAGAAAATCTTGACACAGGCCTTACACCCATCACAAAAATTAACCCAAAGTGCATCACAGATCTAAATGTAAATTACAAAACTATAAAACTTAAAATATATATGGACCTCCCTAGTGGCACAAGGGGTTAAGCACAGCACTGAGGGGAGCAGCGGGCGAGAAAGATTTATTTATGCATACAAGAACTGGTGTACAGGCCAGAGGTGTGGGGGTGAGAGGATTCACAAGAGACAGAGTGGGGAGCAGAACAGGCAGATCTACTGAAATGTACTGCTGAGGGGAGCAATGGGTGAGACAGGAGAAGTCTGCTGTACCATGTGGGTCTTTCCCTGCCTGGGGATCAAACTCATGTTTCAGTGGCTGCAGACAGCTCCATAGGCTGTGTCATAACCCCTTGCACTACTGGGGAGGCCCAGATCTCTCTTTCTCTCCTTTTTTTTTTAAAGAAAGTTTTTAGGGCCTCTCTGGTGGCACAGGGGATTGAGCACAGTGCTGTGAAGCTGTCTGCAGCCTCTGCAGCATGGATTCAATACCCGGCCAGCCAGAGAGATACCCACATGGCACGGCAGACCTCTCCTGTCTTGCCCACTGCTCCCCTCAGCGGTGTTTTTGGTCCACCTACCTGTTCTGTTCCCCACTCTGTCTATGGTGAATCCTCTCACCCTCCTGCATTTCTGGCCTGTACCCCGGTTCTTGTATAAAATAAACCTTTTCAAAAAATTAAAAATAAAGGTTTTTAAAAACAAGAAAATGCAGGAATGTTTTTTATTTTTAAATAAAAAATAATCTTTAAAAAGATTTATTTATTTATTCATACAAGAGCTGGGGTACAGGCCAGAGATGCAGGGGGTGAGAGGATTCACCAGAGACAGAGTGGGGAACAGAACAGGCAGACTGACTGAAATACACTGCCGAGGAGAGCGGCAGGTGAGACAGGAGAGGTCTGCTGCACCATGTGGTTTCTCCCTGCATGGCTGGGGATCAAACTCGTGCTGCAGAGACTGAGGATTGCTTTATAGTGCGGTGCTTAACCCCTTGCGCCACCAAGGAGACCCTATTTTAGACCTATATACCGAGTCTCAAATTCATCACCTTTGGGTCAAGTTAAGTCTTCAGACACACTTTACACAGCGGTTAATGTTCTGGGTATTAGTAATTCTTTAGGCATGAGAATGGAGACTCCTACTTGCCATAGGCCCCACCATTCCTAATTGTCTTGCACTGGACGACTTCTCACAGGTGTCACATGTGTGGCTTTTGAAGGTAGTTGAATTGCCACCTCTTGTTCCTACTCTTTTTTTTTTTTTTAAGGTTTATTTATTTAATTATTTATGCAAGCACCGGGTACAGTCAGAAGCGCGGGAGGGTGAGAGAATTCACCAGAGCCAGAGCGGGGAGCAGAGCAGGCAGAGGGACCGAAGTACACTGCTGAGGGGAGCAGCGGGCGGCAGGAGAGGTCTGCACGCCATGTGGGACTCTCCTCCGGTGGGCGGGGAGCGGAGCAGCTTGGGATCGAACCGGCGCCGCAGAGGACGCGGGGAGCCTCGCAATCCAGCGCTCAACCGCTGCGCCACCGGGGAGGCCCTCCTGTCTCTATTTTACCCAGCACAAGGCCTGTCAGTGGGCAGAGGAAATGCAGGTCAAGCGAGCACACCCAATACTGCCTAAGAGTAGGAACAAGGGCCTCCCCCGTGGCACAGCGGTTGAGCGCTGGGTTGCGAAGCTGCCCGCAGCCTCTGCAGCGCCTGTTCGATCCCCGGCTGCTCCCCGGCTGCTCCCCGGCTGCTCCCCGGCCACCGGAGGAGGGTCCCACATGGCGCGCAGACCTCTCCTGCCGCCCGCTGCTCCCCTCAGCAGTGTACTTCCGTCCTTCTGCCTGCTCTGCTCTCCGCTCTGGCTCTGGTGAATTCTCTCACCCTCCCACGCTTCTGACTGTACCCAGTGCTTGTATAAACAAACAAACAAATAAATAAATAAAATACGTGCCTCTTTAAAAAAAAAAAAGAATTTAGTCTCTGAAGATTAAACTGTGATTCTGGTAAAAATCAAGACAGGACGAATGAGGATTAGGGGCTTCCTGTAGAAGGTGTTGTCTGAGCCTGACCTTGACAAATTTAGCCATGAAGCGTAGGCACTTCAGGAAGATGATAAAGCCTCAACAAGGTTGAGGGCTGGAGGAGACTTGAGGGGACAGTTTATCTTCTTTATAGGGGAGCAGATTTAGATAGATGAGTCACCTGGAGTCAGGCAGCGAAAGGCCCAGCGTTCCAGGCTAGGTAGTAGAGCACCAGTTTGGAGGTGGAAGTTGTTGAGTAGGGATTGGCATAGTCTAGGCTCTACTTTCCAAAGTCTGCTCTCACAGGATGCGCTTCTATGACTGTAAAGACAGCTGTAAGGAGGCCGGAGCAATTACCCAATTGTAATGGGCGCTTCTGGCCAGGAGATGGCAGTGGAGATGGGGAGACGCTGCAGAGGAAGAATCGGCTGAACTTGGCAAATAGTTGATTGCTGTGATGATCCTCTGAACAGCCGCTCCTCTTCTGTGAAGCCAGCCTTTCCCAGTCTCCTCCTACCACCGACCTCCCTGACTGCTCCTCCTCAGTCTCCCTGACAGGCAAAATCTGCCGGACCCCTTCGTCAATTGTAAGGAATCCTCAGGATTCTTCCCTCCATTGCATCCCTCATTTAGAACGTCCTGAAGGGCAGAGACAAGTACCTTGAAGTTAATGAAGCTTAAGTTTCAAAACCCCTCCTTTGGGGGAGGGAAGGAGATTAAAAAAAAAACAACAATCTCTCCCTTAAGGGGGGTCTTCATTACCAGAAGTATCTGGGGGCTGTAGAATTCTTTAGATGAGGTGGGGAAGCCAGGTTGCAACCAGAAAATGTTTGCATGTAAGCATTTCTGGTAATTTGCCTAAAGAGATCTCAGAGGAAAAGGCATTAATCCACGAGGCGTCAGTATTTTCATTGTTCATTCCAATGACCGTCTTTTTAACTAAGGACTCCGCTGGTTATCCTCAGTCCTGTCTGCCTAATTCCTGGATCCGCCCTGCAGGCATCCCAGATACCTAGGACTCAGGCACAACAGCTGAACTCAAGATCTGCTGTGAGGTAATTCATAACCATCCATACGTCCAGTATCTCAAACTGGAAAGGTAGACAGCACCTTCCCATTTCCTTGCTTCCCACATATGGCCACCAAATCTTGTCCCTTACGTCTTCAACATTTACCCATTCTATCGTTTCTCTCAAGTCTCACACCTGACCCCGAACCCTTGATGACTTACAATTAATGAACATACCCTGAACTGTTGGGTCTGCTGGCACCTTGCTCCTCTTCCCACTACCTTTATCTACAGCTGCCTCCCTACCCTATTCATTGACATTTTCTCAGTCTTATGTAAAGTGCTATGCAAATGAAGCTTCAAGCTGAGTCAAGTCCTCTAGCCTCCTCCTGCTCTCTAACAGGCAGACAGCTGCTCCTAACCCTCCTAGCAAGTGAAAATTCTGGAGCTCAGGCCATCTGCACCAGCCTCCTAATTGGCCTCTCTGCAGTCAATCTCTCCCCTCCCCAAAGTTCCAGCTCTTGCAGGGTTTCCGTTCCAACGCGGGTATCAGGACAAGCATGAGAAAGTGTAATATCATCGGGGGTGGGGGCGGCCCTGGAGTGAGGGCTTTGGCGGTGCTCAGGGACACAGTGTGGCTGTGGAGGGGACGAGACACTACCACAGTTGCTCTGGAAGTGGAGTACAGTTCCAGAAGAAATTCACAGAGGGAGGGGGAAACCCACAGTGACTGTGAAGGTCCTGATGCCATGTATGTCAAATTAATATCACATGATGGCCATGAATTTATTGTAAAAAGAGAGCAAGCCCCAACATCAGGAACAATAGAAGCCACGTGGAGTGGCCCCAGTCAATTTGCTACAAATGAAATCAGTTTGAGAGCGATCCCTTCTCAGCGGCTGTCAAAGGGGCTGTGTGTTCACTGCACAAACAGCTGGACCGAGATTCCTGAATTCCCAATTGCATCTGAAATTGCCCTGCAACTGCTAATGACGACGAACCTCCTAGATTGTTAAATAAAGTAAATGGTATAAACTGTTAAAAAAAAATACATCATCTCAGACTGATGCAGCCTCATGACCTACGAAGCAGGTAGAGGGGGCACAGATGGTGGGCAGGGCGATGCCATGTTAGACCAAGGGTCTCTGGTGAGGCAGCAGTTGAACAGAGACCTAGGAAGGCTTTCCACGCGGCTGTCACTGGAGTCGTGTCTAATTGCAGACCTAAGGGCTCCCTCTCCCTCTTCAATTCCTTTCATGACTCTCACGAAAGTCCTCTCTGGAGCCCCCAGATCCCTGCACGGTGGCCCCTGCCAAATTCTCCAGCCTGGCCTCTCCCAGCCCCCCACACTTCACTCACCTGGGTTCCCCGCTAGCGTCCCTTTACAGACACTCTCTCCCCTCAGGGTCTTCTTGCACGTGCTTCTCTTTCCTTCCCACCTGGTCAAACCTGTATGTCCTTAGTCCCAGGGAACACCCGCTAACCCCCAGAATCCTCCCTGGCCCTCAGGCTGCGTGATATCTGTGCTTTTTTGCTTCTGGGCACTTTAACATGAGGAATAATTACATGCCTTCCACAAGGTTCCTGGTGAGAAAGGGGTCACATCTTTCTAGTTCACTCCTGCACACATGTCTATACCCATTGTCCGGGGGAGCGCACACGCTAAGTATCAGTAGCGGAGTGTATTGGTGTCCTCGTGCATGCATGATAGCAATAACCCACGTGTTCAATACACTGAAAAATTGGGGGCCTCCCTGGTGGTGCAAGGGGTTAAGATGCAGCACTTAGGGACTCCCTGGTGACGCAAAGAGTTAAGCGCCGCACTACGAAGCAATCCACAGCCTCTGCAGTAGGAGTTCGATCGCTGGCTGGCCAGGGAGCAACCCACATGGCGCAGCAGACCTCTCCTGTCTCACTCACTGCTCCCTTCAGCAGTGTATTTCAGTAGATCTGCCTGTTCTGCTCCCCTCTCTGTCTCTGGTGAATCCTCTCACCCTCTGCATCTCTGGCCTGCACCCCAGCCCTTGTATGCATAAATAAATCTTTAAAAATATAAACACGGCGGCTTCACTAACCCCCACCTTGGGTGCGTGAATTCTGCCCAGGACCAATAAGTTTTCCCTTCCTTTGAGGAAAAAAAAATATATATAAACATGATGTAAAATTATAACAATGGGGCCTCCCCGGTGGCGCAGCAGTGGAGCGCTGGGTTGAGAAGCTGCCCGCAGCCTCTGCAACGCCGGTTCGATCCCCGGCTGCTCCCCGGCCACCAGAGGAGGGTCCAGCATGGCGCGCAGACCTCTCCTGCCCCCTGCTGCTCCCCTCAGCAGTGTTCTTCAGTCCTTCTGCCTGCTCTGCTCCCCGCTCTGGCTCTGGTGAATTCTCTCACCCTCCAGCGCTTCTGACTGTACCCAATGCTTATAAATAAATAAATAAATAAATAAATCTTAAAAAAAAAATTATAACAATGACAAACACTAAGAACAACCCTAGTTTTGATGTGAATTAATTCATTACATTCTTACCACAACCCAGTAAGTCCATTATCATCCTCACTGCTGTCTTAAAAAAAAAGGGGGGGGCTGGTTTCAATAAGTCCTCCCAGGGACATTACTGGAAAGCAGCAGAGCAGGGACTCGAACTTGCGTGTGTGCCCTTTGCAGTGCTGTGCAGCGCAGCCGATCCAACCCAGGTCTCCCAAGGGACAGTTAGTTACTCTTGCTGCCAGGGAGATATGTTGGAAAAACAAAACAAGTAACAAACTCGCAAAGCTCCGGGTTTTATTGAGTTTACATTCCAGGTGAGGGAGGCAAAGAACGCACATATAAACAAGTAAAAGTGTGCAACGATGATGGCATTCATTGTACGTTATGAAAAAATAAAGTGGGTTGGGGAGAGGGAGCAAGGGGCCAGCAGGTGCTATTTTAGACGAGGCAGTCTCATAAGGCCTGACTGATGTGGTGACATCTAAAGAGAGTTGTGAGTGCTTTGGGGTCTGAGCATTCGAAGCAGGGTAAATAAGTACAAAGGCCAGGAAAGTGACCCAGCTTGCTCAGGAAGTCACTGGGGAGCCCAGAAGCTGGCAGGAGCCAGGGGAACTGTAAAAGATGAGTTCTGAGAGGAGGGTCAGGCCTGGATTCAGCAGGGCTTGGGAGGTCAAGGCCAAGGAGTTTGGATGGATTCTTAGTGAAGCAGAGGTCATTCTCAGAGTGCTGAGTGGACAATGTTGAGACCAGAAGTCAAGCACCATCATCTAGGAGAGAGGGGATGGAGATTACAATTTAAAGAAGAAGGGGACCTGGAAGGAGCGTTGTCAGATTTAGCAATTAACTCTTCTGGAACAAACCTCTAGAGTCTCCTGAAAGTAACTGTCAAGTGGCTAAGGTCCCAGGAGGCTAGGAGAGTAGGAGAAGGTTGGGGCTAAGTTCTTTACCCTCTGGCAGAACTGGGGACTTCTGAGAACACAGCTAAGGGCAAAATCTCTACAGGCTGGATCTAGCACATCTTAAGCAAACATCCCAATCAAGAATGTCCCCAACCCTAAAAGAAGGAAACTAAAATCTAATGACACCCAGTTCTAGGAAGTAGTGGGAAGACAGACACACTGCTGGGGGGAGTGGAGGTATGCACAAATCTTTTGTTTGACTTGGATTTTTTAAAAAAAAGATATATTTATTTATGCACGTAAGAACTGGGGTGTAGGCTAGAGGTGTGGGGGTGAGAGGATTCACCAGAGACAGCGTGGGGAGCAGAACAGGCAGATTGCCTGGAATACACTGCTGAGGGGAGCAGCAGGTGAGACAGGAGAGGTCTGCTGTGTAGCCATGTGGGTCAACTCCCTGGCTGGGTATGGAACTCCTGCTGTGGTGGCTGGTGATAGCTTGATAGCGCTCTGTCTTTAACCTCTGCGCCACAAGGGAGGCCCTATTGACTTGGATTTTTAAAAGAATTTTTCTTAAAAAGAAAAGCTTTTTAAATTGAAAAAATCCTTTGTCTCAGGAATTCCATTTTAGAAATTTATTATAATGACAAATCAGACAAATAAGCAAGTGGGCAGGCACAAAGATGTTCATCATGGCATTATTTATAAAAGCAAAAAAGAGAGAGATGGGGGGAACATGATCCAAAGATTAAACAAAAGAAAAACAGGGCCTCCCTGGTGGCCTGAGGGGTTAAGACACAACCTATGAAGTTGTCCGCAGCCTCTGCAGCATGAGTTCGATCCCCGGCCAGACAGGGAGCAACCCACATGGCGCAGCAGACCTCTCCTGACTCGCCTGCTGCTCCCCTCAGCAGTGTATTTCAGTCAGCCTGGCTGTTCTGCTCCCTGCTCTGACTCTGGTGAATCATCTCACCCCCCACATCTCTGGCCTGTACCTCAGCTCTTGTATGCATAAAAAAATAAATCTAAAAAAAGAAAAACAGACAAAGAGAAGGATAGTTGGGAGATAAAGAAATTCAAATAAATATATTGAAAAGATGGTCACCCTTGTAAATAATCAGGCATATAGGAAAGTGAACATAACCATTTCACAGAGCAAAGAGGACTCTGCCTTTATCTGTAAAGTTACATTTTATTAACAAATCTGGTCCTTACAATGCACCTTAACATCCAGATTATGGGCTCTAACAGAAACTAGGGCTGGTTGCACCAGGCTGTCTGTGTGTAGACCAGAGGTTTAAGGGAAGACTGAAACATCTTATCAGAAAGCAAGGAAGTTTTCAAAGCTTCAAAAGTCTTATTGGAAAGACAAGAATCATCACGAAGGGTCGACCAGCGTGAACACGGACACCTCAAAAGGAGAATACTGGACTGAGTCAATATTAGGTTTGATTCATTAAAATGACTCACAAAAGCACTGCTGAACATAAAGTACTGCATCCTAAAAAAGAGGACTAGAATCAGATACATCCTATTTTATTGCCTTGTTAGGAAACCAAAAAGAAAAAAAAAAACAAGAAAAACATAATAGAAAGTGTGTGTACTAATTCTAGGAAAGCGTACACAGGTGTTTGTTATATTTTTCTTTTTTTTTTTTTAACTTAAAAAGCAAACATCCTGCTAAGGGAAACAGAAGAAACACATATTTGCATTGTAATTGCTCTTTTAAAATATGTACACTTAGGGCCTCGCCTGGTGGCTCAGCAGTTGAGCACTGGGCTGCGAAGCCGCCCGCAGTCTCTGCAGCGCCGGTTCCATCCCTGGCCACTGGGGAGGGGCCCACATGGCGCACAGACCTCTCCTGCCGTGCCCGCTGCTCCCCTCAGCAGTGTACTTCGGTCCTTCTGGCTGCTCTGCTCCCCGCTCTGGCTCTGGTGAATTCTCTCACCCTCCCACGCTTCTGACTGGACCCAGTGCTTGTATAAATACATACATACATACATAAAACAAACAAAAAATAAATAAATAAAATATGTACATTTAGGGCCTCCCCTGGTGGCGCAGGCTGTTGAGCGCGCGCTGTGAAACTGTCCGCAGCCTCTGCAGCGCCGGTTCCATCCCGACCGGCCGGCCGGCAAGGGTACCACATGGCGCGCAACCTCTCCTGTCTCACCCGCTGCTCCCCTCAGCAGTGTATTTCAGTCCATCTGCCTGTTCTGTTCTCTGCTCTGTCTCTGGCGAATCTTCTCACCCTCCCGCGCATGTGGCCTGTACCCCGGTTCTTGTGTAAATAAATAAATAAATAATCTTTTAAAAAATGTACATTTAATTCATTCTCTGAATGTTATATTTTGCAACTAAAAAGGTTGTTTTAAAAAACGTGCAGGTCCCCCCCTTGGTGGCACAAGGGATTAAGACGCAAGCTATGAAGCTATCTGCAGCCACTGCAGCACGAGTTCGATCCCCGGCCAGGGAGCTACCCACATGGAGCAGCAGACCTCTCCTGTCTCACCCGCTGCTCCCCTCAGCAGTGTATTTCAGTGGATCTGCCTGTTCTGCTCCCTACTCTGTCTCTTGTGAATCCTCTCATCCCCTGCACCTCTGACCTGTATCCCAGTTCTTGTATGGATGAAT